TTTTTTTTTTTTTTTTTTTTTTTTTTTTTTTATTTTTATTCACGACAATTGTCCTTGTAGCTTTTTTTAAAAGAAAGTTTCTGCTCAACCCTTATTTCATACTTCGTTTTTAACCATCCTGCTCATGCGTTTGTTTTCAGCAGCCTGTGCGTTGCAGAGGGTGCTGCTAAAGAAAGGAACAAAAATTAAGCTACAAAGGCAACAGTTTAGCAACGGGGTACTGTGCTTAGTTGTGGACGATTGAAAACGACGAAATTTGGACAGTTAGATTGGCATAGTGGTGCTGTCTTACAAACAACGTAGGGTACAGAATCACTGAAGAACTTGCAGCGTGAGCTTCTGGCTGTTACATTGCGTGCGGAGGAGCTGGTTTTTTGGTGCATAAGGGCGAAACGGGACATTTTTTGTTCGTTCGATTCTTGTTGTAAAAATTCGGGTATAATGGCGTTTTGTTTTCAGGATGGGTAAACTCACAGGCGATCGATTTTTGATGGTTTATGATTTGAGGACATTGCGTAGCTTGCCACCAGTACCTCTCCCAATGGCACCTTCTTTCTGTCGATTTTTGCCGTCATATTCTGATAGTCGGATCATGGTTTGCTCTCAGGTTTGTCATCTTTACGGTGTGTTGCAAACCTAGCAAGCTCTCCAGATTACTCGGTTTTGGATCAGTTTTTAGCAGCCTGCAGCTCATCTGCTTTCAGTTCTACGAGCAGTGTACTTTGAAGTTGGAACTCCGCAATCAAAATAACAACTCTTTTTGCCTCTTTTGCCATACTGTTGAGTGTCACTTTTTATGTGTTTTGTGCTGTGTAACAGCGTTACAAAACGCATATTGTCACGGGGTTGCCAGTGTGTGTATCCCATATTTTGTTCCGCACTTTCAACTCGGGGACCACAAAAGCTAGGCGGTTGAAATTTTGGTACAGTGTCCCCCGCCAGCGGGTGACGCGGCAAATTTAAATTCAGCCTTCCCGTACCCACGGGTAGCACGTACGCCCCGCGAAAGTTTTTCACGGGTAAATTAATATCTTAGGAACCACGAAGTCTAGGAGGCAGAAATTTTAGGGTATTAACCCCCTGCCCACGCTCAACCTTGCATATTCAAATTCTGGCTTTCCTTATCCGCGGGTAACACGTACGGCCCCGTGAAATTTTTTACGGGTTAATTGGTATTTCAGGAACCATGGAGTCTAGGAGGCTGAAATTTTAGGGTAATGGCTCCCTGCCCACGCTCAACCTTGCCCATTTAAATTCAGCGTTCCCTCGCTGTTGATTATCACCTACGGCCTCGTGAGAATTTTGGCGGCTAAACTATCAACTAGTGAATCACGGAAAGATATTCACTCTCCAAGGTTTCGAATTCAGCTTTCATGCGCTGATGCGTGAAATTTTTAACTATTTTCCAATTGCTGAATTATTTTTGCATAGACAAGCAGTGAAAATCATTAATAGGCAATCGTTCGATGGGCTGAATTGCACAAAACGCATGACCGCACCGGCTATTCTGATGCGCGGTGCTATTTATTCAAATTAACCGCCTGATGTTTCACACACATTTAGTTAAATTTTTATCTTTTTCGACAAATATTTTCTGTTCTTCCTCTCTGCTCGTTATTCCAAAGACGTGGGAAAACCTCGAAATATCTGAACTTGTCCTAGAATTATTTTGTTAAAGTTTTATCTTTGCAGCTTCCATGGAATCAAATTAGATAGGCAGACAGACTAGGACTGCACGAATAGGCAGGTGCGAGCCAACCAGTGGTGTTACTAAGATACTCCCACACGTCGGTCACACCCTCTCTGAGCTGTAATGTAAACGCTTTGTTTTGTAGGCTGGTGAATTCATAGTGATGAATTTGAATGAGCAGTCGAGCCAGATACCGATCCAGCTGGATACGAATGGCTTCGCAATAACGTGTCTTGATATCTCAGTTTCAAAACAATGCATTGCATTTGGTGACCAAACAGGTCCTTATTTTAAACTTTCGCTTTGTTTTCTTACTCAGCTTATACTCATTTCTCGTACAATCTTGTGCATTTTCATATTTATGCTTTTAAATTTCTGGTCTGCTTCTGCAGCGATGTAGCTGGTAACTTGTTTTACTCTGAGTGATGTTGCTTTACACCTTCTGGTTGTCAACCTAGTGACCAACGTTCATTCGTATTTTGATGAAATCACTAGCGATTCTCAAAACAGAAGCATTTGACGAGGCTTCAACCGTTTCTAGTTTTCCATGGTGTATTTAAAATAATTTAGTTCAGTAAAACTATGAAAAAATTAAATAAAAGGAGAAATTTCTTTATTTTTTTTTTTCACAGAGCTATTGATTTATTTTCGTTCTGCTACTATTGATGCAAATTTCCAGGATTAATCCATCTTTTTTCGGATCGAATGGAACCAGTTTTCAACGAAAATGCTTGGCCAACCGAATTTCCTAACCCAGTAAGCTTACATCAATAAGTCCTCCGATTGGCAAACGTATTCCGATTAATTTGTGGACGCTTTTCCTTTTATCTTTTTTACTGGCAACTTTTACACTTTCGGGCAAATTTTTTCGCGCCACGAAGCCACTCACTTGGGAAATGGTTTTTAATGCGTTTTTTGCAGCTATGCAATACAGAAAACGCATATTGACGAGAGGTTGTCTGTGTATGC